TTATTGATTATTGATTGATAAACACAGTCTACTGCCAGGAACTACAAAACCTCTTCAGCTCAGTAGGAATGGCAGGGGCTTATTCTGCTTGGCCACTTCCATTTTATCCAGTTCCATCTATAAAGGACAATGAAAGAAGCCCATAGCTGCATCCTGAGTCCTCTGGAAACTTATTCCACCCTCAAAAGATACAGCCAAGAGGCCCAAGGTCTAGGTGTCTCTGCCTTTCTGTTTTGAATTGTTCCTCTATTATGTCTAAGAGGCAACGAGGCTTTATGACTGAAGTTTTGGACCTAATACAGCCAGGAAGACTCGAGTTCTAATCTTACCTCTCACACACCTCTGTGACCCTGGACCAGACTCTTCACCTGTCTGGGGACTCAGTATCATCCCCTAAAATAAAACAAATCTAAAGTAAAAACCTAAAGATCTAAAAATCTAAATAAATCTCAAGTAAAATAAAGGGGCTGATTGCCTGACCACCCCCAGCTATCAGTCCCCTCCAAAAACTACCTTGTATTTAACTAATTTGTTTGGATATACATGTATGTGTGCATGCAAGTGCATTAACTGTGTACTGTACCTATTGTCTCTTCCATTAAAAGTAAGTGACTTGGGAGCAGGAATTGTTTTGTTTTTGTAAAGGCTCTTCAAACTCTAGATCTATGATTAGATTCGACGATTAGGGCACCCTGGCTGGTTTCTCTTTCTTTTAACAGACAATTGAAAAAGAAGAATCAGACTTCTTCCTTCTCTCCTCATCTCCCACCGCACCTTCCCCCAAAACAATTCAACTTGATTTAGTTAAATGATTCTCTCCCAAATCATTTCCAAAATGACTTGGAAGGTGTCAGTCCCATAACCAGAGCAAGAGGATGAGAACTATTTTTTTTTTTTGGCTAGGCAGTGGGGTTAAGCGACTTGCCCAGGGTGACACAGTTAGTAAGTGTTATGTGTCTGAGGTCGAATTTGAACTCTGGTCCTCCTGAAGCCAGGGCTGGTGTTCTATCCACTACACCACCTAGCTGCCCCAGACAAGACCTTTGTTTGCCTTGGGTTGGCTATCTATCCATCTCTGCCTATCGCTCCATCTAGCTATGAATAGCCAGGTTTCTTGATCTTGCCCAGGCTGGAAGTGCAGGAACTTCACTCATGAGTCCCATTCCACTTCCGATCTAGGCTGGTTCCCCCCTCCTTAGGCACCCTTGTGGCCCTCTCCTTCCCGGCTTTCATCACATTCACGTTGAGCTTGGTGCAGACTCTCAGTGGCCACCCACTGCAGCTCAAGATACCCAGCAGCCTCAGTCTTCGCAGTAGCAGGCATTGCAGGGATGTGCCAGCAGGCTCAGCACAGGAAGCAATTTACAAGATACCTACAGGACCATCCTCCCCCACCCCAGGGATGGCAGGAGCAGTGGCTGCCTCATCCCGGAGTTAATCCTGCGTCCCGCCCCTGAGGAGGGCACACCTCCACAGCTGATGCTGCCTCCAGCCGCTCTCCCCAGCTGCAAAAAGTGCTAGTTACAGCTGGTTTTTCTTTTGCCTCGTTTCTCGTCTCTGCAAATCAAGACAGATTGTATCTGTCTTCCAGAAGTTTTTTTTTCCATTTCACAATAAGCTCTTGGGGTCTTGTGCGCTTTCTCTAAGAACTCTGAGAAACATTTACAACATACATATATCAAAAACAAGACTCAGAAAGGAAACACATGGAAAAGTAGACAAAACTCGCCACCCCCTTCCTCCTTTCGCTCAAGATGGTCTGCACCCTCCCTTCCATAAACACAGAATGTGAAAAGGATGGGGGTGAGGAAAACGCCTATACAGAGCCAAGTGGAGCTGAAGATGCAAGCTTGTGGCAGCAGGAAATGGGCGTGGGAGGATATGTGCTGGCTGGTTCGAACTTGTAAATGGAAAACCACGCGGCTAGTGCTTGGCACACCACACATCCAGCCCCTGCCCACCCAGGAAACCTCATAAAGGAGGTGGGACACTTGTAACCACTCTGTTCAAGGAGTATTGTTGTCCAGACTTTTTTTTTTTTTTGGAAGCAGAAAACATTCTGATTGGGGAAAGACTGATTGGGGAAATAACAACAGCACTTACACAGTTCTTTAAATCTTGCAAAGAGCTTAACAAATATCATCTCATTTTATTCTCACAAGAAACAAGGATATTATTATGATTCCCCCTTTTACAGATGAGGAGACTGAGGCAGGCAGAGGTTAAGTGACTTACCCAGGGTCCAGCTCACAGGTCTTCCTGACTTCAGATCTAGCATCCTATCCACTGTGCCACCTTCAGAAGGAAGAGTGGGAGGCAGTGAATTTGCAGTAGGAAAACCTTAGTTCAATACTTACCTCTACACGCACTACCGGGATGATTTTAGCCAAATCACGTCCCCTCTCCGGGCTTCAGCTATGTGAAAAATAAAATGAAGGGGTTGAAAAGGATAATCTAAAGTTCTTCCAGCTCTAAATCCAATGACTGGCCTCATGGATGGGGTAAGGATACTGTGACAATGATCTGATCTTAGCTATAGCCAACAAGCATTTATTAAGCACCTACTGTGTTCCAGGCATTGTACTAAGCTCTAGTCACTAAACCTCGATTTCCCTTTGGACAAACTCATAGCAAAAACAAACAAACAAACAACCTATCCATTTCTTTTTTTTTTCTTTTTGGCTACACTATGGAGTTAAGTGAGTTGCCCAGGGTCACACAGCTAAGTGTTATGTGTCTGAGACCAGATTTGAACTCGGGTCCTCCTGAATTCAGGGCCGGTGCTCTATCCACTGTACCACCTAGCTACCCCAAAACCCTATCTGTTTCTGAAAGGTATAATGAGGATAAAATGAGCTGGTAGGAGAAATGCTGTGATGAGAATTAATAACTGTAGAACACCCTAAAGGAATCACCAATACCAGTCAGCCTCCCAGTGTTCAGTAGCACCCAACTCTGGAGTTTTTCTTGGCAAAGATATTGCAGTGGTTTGCCATTTTCTTCTCCAGCTCATTTTACCGATGAGGAAACTAAGGCAAACAGGGTGAAGTGACTTGCCCAGGGCCACACAGCTAGTGGTGTACCATTTCCTTCTCTAGCTCATTCTACACATGAGGAAACTGAGGCAAACAGGGTGAAGTGACTTGCCCAAGGCCACCCAGCTAGGAAATATCTGAGACCAGATTTGAAACTCAGGTCCTCCTGACTCCAGGCAGGTGCTCTATTTACTATGCCACTTATCAGCCTCCCCAGAGGTATGCAAATCAGCAGATTTGTGGGGAAGCATACATTGGGAGGTAACAAGGCAAATCCACTGAAATTGTGGGTTGTGAAGCAAAGCCAAATCCAGCAGAAAATTTCCTATATGAAAAGAAAAACTTCCTCTTAGAGCTATCCAACAGTGAAATGTGATGTCACAGGCAATAGTAAATTCCCCCTCCTTGGAAGACTTCAGCAAAAGCTAAATGACCCCTTGTCAGTATGCTCTTTATCTCTGCTGATTATCTCCAATATATCCTGTCTGTAACCTGTTCATAGTTGTTCGCATGTTGTCTTCCTACATTAAAATGTGAGCTCCTTGAGAGCAGGGACCAGTTTTATGCCTTTATATGTATGGCTAGAATTTAGCATACAGGAGTTTAATAAATGCTTATTGATGGGCTGACTATTGTCATGGGAATTCTTGGGCAGGTATATGTTGGACTACATGGCCTTCGAGGTCCTTTCCAATGCTAAGATGATGTGAACAAGATATCACTAAAAATAGGCTATATATAGAAAGACCATCAATAATAATAACAACAACAATAGCCATATAAAACCAGGTCATTACTCCCAGAAATTGCAGAAGGGTCATCCTAACGAAGTCCAGATCGCTTGATACTGATTTTTCAAGGAAATGGTAGAACATTTCTCTTCATGCAACATATCTCTTCAAGTTACAAAAATATGACACCAAGAAAATACCTGGGAAGAAACTATCAAGTGGTCAGAATATACACAGGCAGCTCACCAACATGTCAAATCACAAGACAACAAATTCAAACCCTGCCCCCAAATATGCTTGGGAATTCAACAAAGAATCCACTGAAAGCACAGCATCATGAGGCCGTCTCTTTATGACACATACAAAATCTAAGGACAGCTTTTAAAAAGAGATGCTTATTGTCATCCCAAACGTTCGTAAACTCCAAATAAAGTGGAAAAGCTTTCAAAATATAAAAAAACCAGTAAAAACAATAGAAGATGCTTTCAGTGGACCTAAAGAAGACAAACTTGCACCCCAACTTTTATTCAGTTACAAAAAATCAGTTATTCCATCCATCTATGTAACAGTCCATAGAATATTAATAACAATGCTAGCATTTGTAGAAGGCTTTAAGGTTTGCAAAGTGCATTTCACAAATAGTATATAAATTTATCCTTCACAACTACCCTGGGAGGTGTTATTATTGTTGTTGTTGTTACCATTTTATTATCTCCATTTTACAGGTAGGGAAACTGAGGCAGGCAAGTTAAATGACTTGCCCTGGGTCACACAGTCAGCAATTGTCTGAGGCAGCATTTGAAATCAGGTCTTCCTGACTCGAGGTCCAGCACTCTGTCACCTCTCAACATTGAACAGAAGAACAATATAGTATTATGTCTTGTCCCAGGATACCAACTTCTATCTGAATTCAATCCAATAAAAGATGAGGTGAGTAATAAGGATAGGAATAAAGCAACAATCAGCCTAGGAAGCCGGCTTTTCTATGCTGCGTAGGATTTGCAAAGCGCTTTCACCGCTGCCTCCCCATGGGATGGGCAGCACCCGCCTCATCCCTGCAGAGGGCAGACGAGAGCTCCATCCAGATGTGCAAACCTCTGGAAGGACCACACTCTCAGAGCGTACAAGAGCGGCAGAAGCATCACCTCTAAGCTCCGCCCCCAGGCTTCCTGTTTCCCAGGCTCTTGATTTCCAGGGAGGTGGCTCCGGAGCCCGTGGTGATTGGCCAGGACTGTCTATGACGTCACGCGTCCGAACGTCCCCGTGCCGCCTAGTGTGTTGGTGCTTGGGTCGTCATGGCGGCGCGCAGGAGCCGGGCGCTGTGGCAGCTGAGCGGCCGGGGCTGGAGTCGGGCCCTGCTGTCTCTGCGGCCGCCTTGGGGCTGGGCCCGGCCGATGTCCACCGAGAAGCCAGGGGCGCACACGCATTTTGGGTTTGAAACGGTGTCGGAGGAAGAGAAGGGGGGCAAAGGTGAAGAAGGGAAGGGGCGGGGACTAAGGGTGGGGGGGCGGGGCCCAAGGGGGAGAGGCGGAGTCTGCGTCAAGCGAGGGACGGGGCCCAAAGGCGAGAGTACAGTTTGAGGATGGGAGAGGGGGAGGATCAAGGAATGGGGAGGGGCTTGAAGGGGAAGGGGAAAAGCCTGATGGGAGAGGGTCTGTGGGAGCTGAAGGGCTGGGGACAGGGAAGGAAACAAGAAAGAAGGCTTAAGCCTTAAGTATGAGACCTACTGTGTGCTAGGCATTGTGCTGAACACCTTATAAGTAACCCATTTGAATGGGTAGGGTCCTAGTGGATTGGAGGGGAGGGGGCCAGAGGAATAGGGAAGGGGGCTGATGGGAGGAGGAGGGGGGAGTTATGGGTGAAAGGCATGAAGAACCTAAGCCCTGGGAATATGAGTTCCCCTCATTGAGGGTCTGGGAAGTGGAGAGGAGTTTGAAGTGAGGGGCCAAGAATGTAAGGAATGGGGGCAGCTAGGTGGTACAGTGGATAGAGCACCGGCCCTGAAATCAGAAGGACCTGAATTCAAATCCAGCCTCAGACCAAACACTTGACTCTTACTAGCTGTGTGACCCTGGGCAAGTCACTTAACCCCAATTGCCTAAAAAGGGGGAAAAAAAGAAAGAAAGAAAGAAAGAATGTAAGGAATGAGGGGTCTGAAGGGAATGGGGGGAGAGATCTAGGGATTAGGAGTCTGAGGTTATGAGGGTTTGGGATGACAGGATTGAGAAGTCTGAGACACTGGGAGTGTCCAAGCAGCATGAGGGGCTAGAAAAGGGTCTGAATGAGGTCAGGTAAGGGATAGAGGCTGTGTGAAGGGTTTAAGGGGATGAAGTCTGGAGTCTGAGGAACTGAATAATAGTAATAATAGCATTTATATGATGCTTTAAGATTTGCAAAGTGCTTTACAGATATCTCATTTACTTATTTGATTGGATAAAGGGCCTGAGGTGGTATCTAGAGATCTAGATAGTGACTGTCAGGAGTGGAGTGGGGCAGGCCAAGCAATCATAGACTTAAAGAAACTAAACAAAAAATGCCCGCTAATGAAAAGCAGGTAAAAATTGTCCCACTGGGTCTGATTCCTTGCATCTAGGCTTTTTAAGTTTTGTGTTTTAAAAGTGCAGCAAAATAAAAAAATAGACTTGGCCTAGAGCAGGGGTGGGGAACCTGTGGCTACATTTGGTCTTCTAGGTCCTCCAGTCCGTTTTACAGAACAGTTCCTTTATTAAGGGGATTTGTTCTGTGAAGTTTGGATTCAGTCAAAGGGCTGCATTTGAGGACCTAGAGGCCTTAGGGCCATTCTTTCAAGACTGTTTATTATGTTCCTACTGTGTTTGGGCTTAAAGGAGAGAAAGGACAGAGAATAGTCCCCGGCCCCCTGAAACTTACGGAGTAATAAAGGAGATGGTTATCATGTAGAAGAGAGATTAGTCTTATTTTGCTTGACCTCAGAGAACAGAACTGGAAGAAATGGGGGGTGGGGAGACAGTTAAAAGAGGAAAATTTAGGCTGGATGGCTGGAACAACTTCCTAATGATTGGGAATGAGCTGGCATGGAGCGTCATGGCTTCTTCATTAGAGGTCTCCAAGCAAATGCCGGATGACCACTTGTCAGGTGTCTTGTACTAGGTGCGGGTCAGACAGGATGAGTGCCAAGGCTCCTTCCATCTCTCAGATTCTGTGACTGCCTTTGACCACAGTAAGAGTGGTATGAAGTGCTTTGTTTAGAGGAAGGAGAAGCGCGCTGTCGGGGAGGACCTTTGGTGAAAGCAGTAGCATTTGAGGAAAGAGTTGAAAGTTCTTTTAAGACCTTGTTGCTGATTTGCGTTGGTTGAGAAGTTTTCTTCTCGGGAATCCCTGAAATTTCAGGTCTGATCCAAAAGAACATTCTTGGTCAGGCTGTTGGCAGTGAGGTGAGCTGGAGAGCAGATATATGAAGGGACTGCCTGGGGGTACCAGACTGACAAGTGTCCAGACACAAATGGTCTTATCTAAGTCTTTTTCATGAAAAAAAACTTCTCAATTAATTGCCTCTCAGTAACACACTTGTGATGGGCTGTTTTTTAACCCACTTTAGTTTACCAGGTGTTTGAAAGTGTGGCCGAAAAGTACGACGTGATGAACGACTCAATGAGTCTGGGGCTTCACCGGGTTTGGAAGGATTTGTTGCTACAGAAGATGCACCCTTTTTCTGGGACCAAGCTCCTTGATGTGGCTGGAGGCACAGGTACTACCTGATTTTGTACCGTGACTTATCTTGTTCAGATAAGTGGGTCCCTCTTGGAGTAGCCTCATTCATCTACTATTAGGCCAGAGCTGGAAATAGAAAGTCTGTTCAATAGGAATGCCCCATAGAAATGGGATAAGCTATTAATTATTCTTTCCCTTCAGACAGAAGCTTTTTAAGGGCAGGGACTTTAAGCACCTTCATTTTGGTGCCTCTAACCTAAACTACAAAGCCTTCCTTTTGTAGGTGTTGAGTTGAGTGGTGTGGACCAAAATGGAGGAGTCTGCTGTGTGCTCGGAGCGGTGTTAGTGGTGACAGAATTATAAAACAAAACAGTCGTTTTTATTCCCACAAAAGCTTTCAAACTAAGTTATTATTCTTCTGTTTCATTTTTTAACATAACTTGTTTTATTTTTTATTGTTTCTTCACCCTTATTGGCCATTGTAATATAGTAGAAAGAGGCATATTTGGAGCCAGGCCTTCTAGCTAGGCGGCGTTGGGTGAGTCTCTGGGCATTGATTTCAGGGGATACTTTGGTAAGCCATTAGGCACTCTCTGTAGATAGGCAGTGTGTATATCATCGTCATGATATTCTTCATCCTCCTCACCCATACCAGCCACCCCCTTGTGGCCTGGAGGTGGCTTGGCTTCTCAGAGGGCGTGACAACTTGAAAAGCATGACCCTGGCCCACCTTACCTAGTCAGAAAGGCTCCTAGTATAGACCCAGTGATTGACATAAGGCGTGTCAAGATAAATCTGGCTAAGCTCCTCCAGGCTTATCACTGGTTGACCACCAGATCTGACTTTGTTTTTTTCAATTGATAATTGCCACACTTGAGATAATGGGGGTGCCTTTACTTATTTCAGATTCTGTAATCCGCACCACTGAAGTCACAGCTCTTTTAAGCTGTCAGTACAACTCAGCAGATGTTTACTAAGTGTTTGTTATGTGTAAGACTCTGTATAAAGCATTTTCACATTAGTCATGTTTATAAGGAAGAATTAGAACCAATAGGAGGAACCACCAGAAAGAGGAAACAAAACAAAAACAGAAGGAAAAAAATAGTAAAGCATTATTGTTATTATATTACATTTCCTTTCCTGGTTGCCTTTTCTGATATAACCAGCTATCCTAAAATTCCTTTGTATCCATCACATAATGCAGTGTTTTGAAAAATAAGGATACTTGTACCTGAGAGCTGGGACTAGAAGGTGGCTGTGAGGAAAATAGGTACTTGGTAAATCTTTAAAAGCTATCACTGGCTTCATTCTCCTCATCCTGGATGATAGGAATGGATAAGTGATCAAATGTGTTTACTCAGCATGTCCGAGGGGCCAGGCTGTGCTCGCCTATCAAAGCCATGGTGGTTTCAGGGGCAGAGTCCAGTGTTCTGGTGGGAGGGGGATCCTGATAATGGCCAGAATGCCAGCAGTCTGGTCTGAAAAAGCCACTGTACAAAATGCCTTATTTACCTTATCTCTTGAGATCCTTACTACAGCCCGGGGTGGTGCATGCCAAAGATACCATTATCACTTTTGCAGAAGAGATGTCTAGGGCTGAGAGAGGTTGCTCACAATCACACAGCTTTTAAGTGTCTAAGCAGGGATTCAAACATTGTACCTATTATGGCCTTGTTTCATCCCAGTATTTTCTACAAATAGTTCATCCCAGGAGTTTGGGACTAAATATGCTAGTCCATTTACTAACAGCTTTTTAAAATGCTATTAACTGGCAACAAATAAGTTTATCTCAGATCTGTAGAAAGTCATATAGATTAAGAAATTAGTTTGGTGCGGAGAGGGCCTTGAGCTCCCACAGACTTTTGAATGGTCCATCCCATGTTCAGAGAGCGCTCTGATTCACCCCTCCTTTTGTTTGGTTACACAGGAGACATTGCCTTCCGATTCCTTAATTACATCAAAGCTCAGAACCAGAGGCAGCAGCAGAGGGAGCTGAAATCCCACCAAAATTTATCCTGGGAAGAGATTGGCAAGTGGTACCAGAACAGCCGGAGTCCCTTAGGGGAATCCCATGTGGTCATCTGTGACATTAACAAGGAAATGCTCAAGGTTGGAAAGAAGAAGGCACAGACATTAGGCCACAAAAGAGGTGGGTCCTGCCAGAAGTAGGTGAAGGGAATTCTGGGGAGGGAAAACTCTGGGAATATCATCAAAGGATTGGAATGTGTTGAATTTTAGACTCATGGGGGAGTCCCCACAGGGAGGAGTTATAGGTGAAAGGGTGACCTGGCTCTGTGAAGCCAGAGAAGGGTCTGGTTCCAATTCCAAGCCACCCTGATGACCCAGTTTACTGGTGCTTGTCACATGAATTCCATCTGCACGTGCCCCCCATTGCCCAGCTGGTCCCATTGGACCTTTGTTGTGGGGGGCACGTCGTACACAAACATTAGCCATGCCTAGGGCCTTTCCTTCTGCATTTGCCTTTGCTCCTTGTTTATGTCAGTCCTTCTTTCTCCTCCTACCACCCCCAGCAGGAACTGCTTCTGCAAGCCCTGGGCCACCCGCTTGTCTCAGTATCAGCCCACTTAGTCCCAAGGATGAAGGATTCTTTTGTTACCCTTCAACACCGTTCAGAAGATGGACAGTTGCTAGTGTATTTAGACAAAAGCACTGTGTTTCCCTCCTCTGTGGAGTTCCTCCATGAGGAATGAGGCGCCTGCCCTTCTACCTTCCTGGTGTCAAGAGTGCCGAAATGCTGACTATTATCTCATCTCTGGAACATAGCTTTGGGGTGTCTAGAGGAGGAGTCTAGCAGAATATGACCCCCTGTGAAGCTCTGTGCTTTGGACTTGGCTCCTAAGGTGGCCAGCCTCAGGAAATGAAAGGTACATCCCATGGACCTGTGTCCCTTTCCTGTGATGGGGCTGGGAGTCTGGAGATGGGGCTTCTGCTCTGGCCTCTGCCACCCATGAATTCACTGAATGAGCATGGCTAAGTCACAGCTGCTCTCTGTGCCTCCATTTCCTCATATGTAAAATGATGGGAACATAGATCACGTGAACTCTAAGCTTCTCTAAACCGACTTCTGTGTGGTATACATCGTCATAGGTCTCTAAATCACAGTGTCAGAGATTGATTTAATATTGTAGGCCTTGCTACTTAATAGTAGCTAGCATTTCTATAGCATTTTAAGGTTTTCAAAGTACTTTGTGACTATTGGCTTATTTGAGTAGATGCTGTTATTATCCCCGTTTTACAGATCAAGAAACAGAAGCAGGTTAAGAGATTTATTCAGATTTGCACAGCCAGTAAGTGTGTGGGGTCTGATTTGAACTCAGGACTTCCTGACTCCCAAGTCCAGAGCTCTATCCACCTTGGCACATAACTCCCCTTTCACTTTTCTCCTTCGCCCCATCACCTGTCCTTTTATAGTACACACATCCCTTGCCAAAAATAAGCCCAATCCAAGTAAAGTGGGGATGAGATAAGAGCATGGAGTAGAAATTATTTTTTTTTAAAAAGGTATGAGAAAACTATGTCTGTGTCCATGGTAGTATATCTTACTCCTGGGGTAGAAGCACTGGAGGAAGAGCCTATGGTTTTCTGGGTTGTTAATGGAGTTTCCAACACAACTCATATTTCATAAGATGGAAATACAGTAATCTGGCTTAGCCGCTGCCTAGTAAAGGGCAAGCCCCATGTTTGCTGGTGAGATCTCCAGGTTTAGGGACCTTCTGAGTCAGCTGGAATCAGAGCAAGGCCATGTATCTTATTAGATTGTTTGTTGTGGTTATCGGTGTTGGTGTCTTCGCCCTCTACTAGGTTCTGATGACCCCGGGGGCCTGCAGGGTCATGTTCTGCCTAACCTCGTGTCTTGCTTAGTGCTTAGCGCTAACCTCTGGGCGTCCAGAAGAGTCAGTGCCATCTGGGGCTGCATTAATCGAGGCCTTACTAGGGGCTAGAAACAGGGTGCCTGCCCCATGGAGCACATCTGGAGAACCAGAGCATTGCCTGAAATGTCCATGGGGCCAGCAGTGATGGGGGAGGGTCACGTGGCACCTCAACCATTGAAAGGAGCCCAGGTGAAGTTTATTCTGGGCACATGGAGACGAGGGAAGGGGCATGATGCTGAAGGAGGGTCTGGATGATTCTGCTTGACCCCCGAGGACAGGAGGAGGGACCATGTAGTGTGGTGGAAGAGCCCTGCCCTGACCTTGATGATTACCGCCAGTGGGATCATGTGCTGAGTCACAGACAAGTCAGTTTCCTCGTCCATAGAATGAAGGTGTTAGACCAGGTGGCCCCAGATTTCCGCTCTAGTGATCTGTGATCTCGTGATCAGCAGTGGGATCGAATTGCAGAAAGGCAGATTGAGATACAATAAAAGAAAAACGTTTCTAACAGAGCTGTCCAAAGTGGAATTGGCTGCCTCTAGGAAATGGGTTCTCCCTTCCTCTAGAGGTCTTTAACTAGACGGAGATGATTGGATCCATCAGGAACTTCTGGGTCAGATGTGGACTGGCCTTAGCTGGCCCTGGGTCCTTTCCGACCTGAGGGTCTGCCCTCACTGGGCAGACCCTTAATAAATGTTTGTTTCATGAGTGGATCACATAAAACAAATTCCAGGTGGACTGTAGTCCTTAAGGGGAAGGGCAGCACTGACCACAGATCATCTTCCTGGGGACAGAGGGGAGCTCCTGGGGCTGGGGTGCAGCTCACCGGTTGTTCTCTTTCAGGCCTGGCTTGGGTGGTGGGCGATGCCGAGGAGCTGCCCTTTGATGATGACAAGTTCGATGTTTACACCATTGCTTTTGGGATCCGAAATGTCACACACATCGACAGGGTGAGCCTGGAGGGATGCTTGGGGCCTGTGTGGTAGACTTGATCAGCAGACTTAGTCATGACTGGGAGAAAGAAGGATTATCAGCCAAACTCTGAAGGGTCAGTCATGTCCCACGTCTTCAGTGTCCCACACCGACAAGCACAGCCACAGCTGGGCTCATTTCTTGACTTGTACTATAGATTCTAGCCTGTAACTTCAGGTGGTTGCTTCACTAAGTCAGTTTGGCTGACTCAGTGATTTTTTAAGTGATCCCAGTAGATTTGTCACTATCTTCGCTCCAAAACTAGAAACGGAATCCTTTGCCAAGCCCCGTAGGATGGTCTGGTCCTCGACTAGACTCATGGAATCTTGGAGCTGTGGGAGACTAGAGTCACTCTGAGCCTGGAGGGACAGGATTGTGTTTTAAGCCCACCTGCTTGTCCTCCCCTCTGTCACCCTTTGGAAGAATCTGGGTGGCACGGGAAAGAGCGTAGTTTCCTTCTTTCCAGACACATGGTGGAGGGACTGTCTGGCTTCGGCTTCACCTTCATGGCATTGAGTGAGGCCTCCCCCTAAAAGGACTCTCTTGTTTTCTTGTCCCTCTTAGGCACTTCAAGAGGCCTATCGGGTCCTGAAACCAGGAGGCCGGTTTCTGTGTCTGGAGTTTAGCCAAGTGAGCAACCCCATCATCTCCAGGTAGGCACAGTCTACTCCCTGGGCTAGGTTCTAGTACATAGTAGGCCCTTAGATAATGCTGGTGGAGGGAGGAGCTGATGGCCCAGGCATCCCCTGGCATGACAGGGAGAGTCACTACCTCCTTTTCAGTCCAAGGCCCTTCAAGAGCAGGAGAGTCATAGCAGACAGGTATTTGTACTGACACAGAGCCTGAAGATTCCTGAGGAGGTGGGGAGTCAGTGGGGCTCAGCCCAACCTTTGCCATTTGCCTTTCTGTTCAGGCTCTATGACCTGTATAGCTTCCAGGTCATTCCAGTCATGGGAGAAGTCATTGCAGGGGACTGGAAGTCGTACCAGTACCTTGTGGAGAGCATCCGACGTTTCCCCCCACAAGTGAGTAACCCCACCCACTCCCCTAAAAAGCAGAGGAGCCAAATTCGAGGTCTTCTAATTTTTTTCTCCTGCATTTTAGGAAGAATTCAAGGAGATGATCGAAGATGCTGGCTTTCAGAAGGTGACCTATGAGAGCCTCACATCAGGCATCGTGGCAATACACTCAGGCTTCAAGCTGTGACTCCAGCACAGCACACTTCTTCCTGTGGCAGTCCCGTAGAAAAGACTAGGGTGTGCGCTGCTCCTTCAGAGCTCCAGCCTCAGGCGCAGGGGGCTGAAGTGATCCCCGGCCTGCTGGGGAAGAAGGCACGGTATTTCTCTGACAATCAGCTGGTGCTATCTGGGACCTTTTCCCAGGGTGGCATTTGGTTAATTTGCCATAGAACGCCTTCTGTTCGTTTTTCTTGGATGTGCGGTGGGGGGGAGGGGGGAATGAGCCCAGAAATTCAGACTGAAACAGGTTTTGTGGCCTCTGCCTCCCCACCACGTCATACCAAAAGGGAAATAAGTAGACCTTCATGCCTCATGGGTGAATGGAAAGGTGGAACCTCCTCCCAAGGACACGCCTAGGTCCTCCTTAAGTCCTAGGCCTGTGTAATCTGCCCAAGTCAAAGGGTGAGCTGACTGTGCCTGGGCTGCGATGTGAGGTCTGAGCCTGGATGGCAGATTAAAGAGTTGACTTGTGTCTGACTTCTCTGCTGTCCTTTACACTTTTCACAGGTGCCAGGAGGGCTTAGGTCTTTCCCAGGTGAAGATACCTAACTCCATACTGGTAATCAAGATTAATAATGGCCTGGAAAATATGACAGCTCATCTTGCCATCAGGGCTACCTTCTTTAAAGAAGTTAGACTGAATTCTGGATACTTCTGGCAAGGCAACACGGAGTTGTAGGAAGAGCCCAGAATTCGCATTCCAGCTCTGTGACTCGTTGTCAGTGTTACACCTTGGCCAAGTCATTTCTATACTCCCTGGGCCAGTTTCCTCCCCTGTAAAATGTCGAGAGTAGGCCAGACACCCTCAGAATCTCTAACCTGACCCCCTGTCCTGTCTTTCATCAGATTGAAAGCTTTCAACAGGCGGCTCCCAGTGCCGTGAAGAGCACTTTGCATTTTGAGTTCCTAGTTTGAGGTTCTTTGACTAAGAAAGTTAGAGAAAGTCACCTGGGTATGACCTGTTTAGCAGCTTCCTTGTGGTGAATAATAGTGTAATCATGCTTGAAAGTGCATAGAGATGTGCTGCACCCTAGCCAGGACCTACCCCACTGTTGCTGGTCCCATCCTTACACCCAACACCAAATTCCAGCCCGTGATAATCATTTCAAAACCAGAGCTTGTCATACCTGTATCATGGAACGCCAGCGAAGGAAGATGTCAAGATTCCTTTCCAACATGTTGACCACAGAACAGCAATTAAATCTCGATCAGATATTAATAGGCTGTGACTCTGTTTAAAAGTCTTCTGCTCCAACCCCTCTGGGCGTTCGTGACAGGGAAGAGCAGGCAGCCCTGTCTCATCTCCAGGGGAACATATATTCTCACATCAGAATCAAAAATAGATTTTAGTGATCTGCCCCCGTTTGCTGGCAAGAAACAGACTAAGGTCACATCAAAATCTCAATTCGCAGGGGTGTTGCGGAGATGGGGTTCATTGGTATTTGGGCTGTATGCTGAGAAACCTAGCTCGTGCCTACCTAGTGGATTGCTGGATTGGGTAGCAGAGCCATTCTACATTCCAACGAGCGAATGGACGTGAAGCCCCTCGATTCTTTGAGCCTATAGATAGCGATGGCCTTGCTGGCTCACTCAGTAAGCAAGTGCTTTTCCCTAACAGCCAAGCTGTAGGAGATTCAGTGAGAAAGGGGATTTGGTTCTAAGACCACGCAGATCTGCACATTTCTATTACTCCTGTAGCTGATCCACTTCAGGGAACCTCGATGGGCAGTTTGTAGCAGAACAGGGACAGGAAGCATAGGTATCCTCACCGGGTTCGATATCTGCCTAAAAAACTTGCCAGCTCCCACCACGAGCAACCAAGGCACAGCTTCTCAGGGCTTGTTTCCTCGTATGGAAAATGAGGGTTCTCTCAGGATCGCTGATCCATCCACAAGGCAGCAAAAGCAGTCTCCTGATTTTGAGACAAATTACCATGGCCAAAAAAAGCATCACTTTGCAACCAGCCCGGCCTAGACTGGACAAGGAACGTCCATAGCCCCATTACAAAACCCAGAGAATGAACTGCACTGGTCTTCAGGGACCCAGGGTCACCGCTCCCCTAACACTCCCACAAGAAATTGATCCTGCCCCCGTTCTTTTTCACTGGCCCCAAGTTCAGTGCTGGAAGAACACTTGGGTTAATAGCTACCAACCAGACCACCGTTTGAAACATTTCCATCTGGTAAGTGCCCCAACTTGAAGCGTCACTTTGCTCTGGCGACAGGGCTTAACCTTTGCAAATCTAGCTTCTCCGGCATATATCTAAACTGACAAGTACCAGAGCAAAAATGCCCAAATTGGAGAAGAAAAAATAGGATGACCAGCCCCTTCCCCTGCACTCTCAGCCACCTAGTCTGCTCCCACATTTATTGCTGGGAAAGGGACAGGGGCAGACGACTTGGAGGTCTTCATGGCATAGAGAGCAGGAAGTTTTTAAACTAGTTACTCAGCCCCAGCCACCGTTCAGATGCTTGGGCTCTGATGACCAACCCTCAGTTCTCAGTTGCTAGAGGTTTGACTCGAGCTGCAAAGCTGCTAACAGCAGGCTGCAAGTTTTAAAATCCTGCCAGGACTTACCATCAACAATACTGCGTACGCAATGCTGCCAGTGGATTAAAAGGGAACCTATTAAAGACCTCCTTCTCCCTGGATATCTTCAGAACAGCCATCTTCCAATCTCAAAGCACTTCCCCCATGATCTCATTGTCACAGCTCCTCAGCCCTGATTTCATCCCCATTCTACAGACGTCAGAGGTAGGAGCAGCCACACGGCCAGTTGGAAGGAGTTCATTTGTCGCTCCAGCCTCGCCTGCCCTGTCCTCTTCCCCTCCCTTGGGCACAGTGCCCAGAACACTGCACCAGCAAAAACCCATCTCAACAGAAGGTAGGCCTGGGCTGTACGGCTCTCTCTCTCTCTCTCTAATTAGGAATAGCCTTCACTCCCCACCCCCTAACACCCATTTTTTATTGTTTTGTTGTGCAGACACCCGACCCACGGACAACCTTGCACACCAGATCCTTCTATCATCCATTATCTCCCAAAAATCTGTCCAAGCTCAGATTGGCAGTTGCCCTTCCGAAGGGGTCCTATTTGGTTGAAGGCTTCCTCCATTACGCATTACAAATACGCAGGGTAAAAAAAACTAAAGAGGAGAGAGACAAAGAGGCAGCAGGCCGGACATGGCAGTCAGTCCCTCAGCAGCTCTAACTAGATATTATTTAAAAAGATTCTTAAAGGTAACACGAGTCTCCAACAGGTTTATTTTTAAAAGAGGAGCTGAGCTTTTTCTGGAGTGAGGAGAGAAGAGCGGAGTATGGAATAGAAAATAAATAGGCAAGGTAAGCAGTGTTTTGCTAACTGTTTTATAACCACAACAAACTAGTACATAGGATGCCCTGTACAACAACAACACGATAAAGGCTTAAAGCTGGAGGTGTTCCCATGGCAATGCTGAAGCTAGTTCAGTCTCTGGTATTTGGAATTTAGGCTGCAGTCCTTGTGATCTGGATGGCTCTCGGGGCAGGAGGCACAGGCCATGCTCTAACCAGACTTGAAGAGGAGGATGGCGACCTGGCCCAGGTAGAAGTAGATGAAGTGCTTCGTCTCGTGTGTCACGTAGCTGCCGAAGTTCCTCCCCACGATGCAGTGCCAGGTGGGGTTGTACTTCTTGTCAAACTCCTGGAAAGGCAACACCAGCCAGGCTGAGCAAGGAGGAGGGCCAGCCCTCAGAGGCGGAGGGCGGCTGGCCATCACCCCCATCCCCAAGGGCCCGGGTATTCAGGAATGTTCCTCGGCTCCCGGGCGCCTACATACCGCATTCGAGCAAACATACTTGCAAGCCTGAGCTCGGCTGCAACATGGGAGGGTGGGTGGGGACAATCACGCAAGTCAATGCGTCTGCGTGCAAGGCTTTTCTGCACCAGGACCTCCATTTCTTTAGTGGTTCCTCTCACTAGCCCCAGGCAACACTGCTTGGCAGGAATGGTGACTAGTAGCAGCAGCTCGTTGGAGTCCACAGATTAAATTTAGCAAGGCCTGTTACCCATTAGCTAGTCATACTACCAAACACCTTCAATTACAAGGGGTTCCACAGATTTTAAAGAAAAAAACAGACACAAGAACACATGGGGGCAGCTAGGAGGCACAGTCAACAGAGCTCTGGTGTCGGAGTCAGGAGGACCCAAGTTCAAATCCAGCCTCAGACACTTAACACTTACTATCTGTGTGACCCTGGGCAAGTCACTTAACCCTGATCACACCTCACTTAAAAAGCAAAAAACAACAACAAAAACATGAGTAAGTGATGTTCACACAGCTACCACCAAAACCCTTAATAGGGAAGTATGTTTCAAACAGTACTTGCTACTTTAGGTGATTTTCTTTTTTTGGGGAGGCAACTGGGGGGTTAAGTGACTTGCCTAGGGCACACTGCTAGTGTCTGAGGCTGGATTTGAACTCCAGGGCCAGTGCTTTATCCACTGTGCCACCCAGCTGCCCTCTAGGTAATTATTTTTACCATCCATTCCTGCTTCTACCAAAACTCACAGGGTGGTTGTAAGGACTGAGATAATATATATATATATAAAATACGGTAAGCTAATCCTTGAGAAATCTCGCATTCTTTTTTTTAATAGGAGAGAATTACCTCACAATGATAGCTAGATAGAGCACACCTGAACTTCAAAGCAACCTTGCAAATATTAACTCCTTTGGCCCCTCACAACAACCCAACAAGATGCTAAGATTATCCTTCCCCCTTTCACAGTAACTAAAGCGGAGAGGATGAAGCGACAAGTGTGCCCAGGATCACCCGGCTAGTTAAGTTGTCAGGCAAAATTTGAACTCGGGTCTTCCTGACTCCAGGTCCAAGCACTCTACCCCATTTACACCACCTACTGCAATCAGAAGGAGAAACTTCTCCTAAAAACTCAGTTTTCAGACTTCAATCACCAAGGGAGAAACCCGAATATCTGTTAGCTGGGTAGCCATGGTCCCATAACATAAAATTTATTTATTTCAAACTTTAAAGTTTTCTGGTTTGCTAAACTAGGTAATAATGCTGGCCATCACTTATCTCACAAGCCTCTGATATGACATCAAATGCAGATACTGCAAACTTTAATACAAACACCACTTCATCACATATATTAACTCCACTCACTAAACAGGTTTGAAAAAGAATCCCTCATAAACTCAGTGACTTGAGAATGTCCTCTATTAAGCTATTCATAAGATTAACATAATTAAGCCAACCCTCAATAGCTCACTTCACTTTACAGAGCTCTAAGGCCATTAATGGGATGACACCCACGTATTATTTCTACATATCCTAAAAGCAGTTCGATGCCTAGTTCCACAGGGTGACAGGTGTGCCTGCCCAATGGGGACTCTCACTCATATTAACCTGCTTTTTCCTTCTTGTTAAGTCTCTTCTCTTTCAGCTACAAGCTGTCCTTTACGTAAGGGCTACAAACTGGTGTTTATCAGAAATGGTATTTATTTCTGTTCTAACATCTTTTATCTCACATCTCTACTGAACCCTCCCTCCCACTGCTGAGACTGGCAGCCTCCTTGCCTTCCAAGCCTGAGAGCTTGGCAGTTTTACTAGGTTTTTACAGACTGCCATCAGCAACACCCCCCCCCCAAAATCACCCACCCACTTTCTCTTAAACCCTGCAGAGCAGGCTAATTCTCCCCACTGGAGAGCTGACAAGATTTCCCTAGGGTTCTGTTGGGAACACCCACACAGTTTTTCCTAACAGATCTCACACAGATGGGTCTTCGATGCAAGAAGAAAGAGGGGACTGCTCGGTCCTGAACCTAGAAACAGTTGCTAGGTGGCATTTTCTGGTGTTGTATTGAAGGACCCATGTCACTTATGTTCTTTGCAAGATTCACAGGGCCAACCACGACCTAGTCTCACACCCTAGAAATTCCCAAGCCCTCCTAACTGGGATTTCCCACCTCCCTTAGGTTCACAGAAGGGAAATAAGCATTCACTTTAAGGAGTGATTCTATCTTAAATTTGACCAGTTAAAGAAATGTTTACAGGGGTATGCAAATTAAAGCAGTAGCCAGCCCCTCCCCAATGGCTTCCCCAGTGAACAGCAGAAACTGAGTCCAGACTCAAGCTACCCCTCTCTCTCCAGCTCCTTGTGTGGACCACCTGACCAGCGCCAAGACTTCGGGCTTCCTCATCTGTAACAGGGGAGGGTGGG